TCAAATTATTTTTATTAATTTAACATTTAAATTAATTAGGTTGCACCATGGATTAAGTCCTACTTGACCCATGATGCATAAAATTTATTTATTTTTTAAAAACTTGCTTAAGATATAAAATTTACATTTTTTAAAAGAATCCAAATCATTGTATGAATTACACGTGTCAAAACTTTCCATGGAATGACTCTGAATTATAATATAATAAGTATAACCTCTCCCATAATATAGATGAATAAGTAACTTTTAAGCTAAATTTTTTATATAATCATCATAGAATTGATTGCTTTATTTTTAAAGCTTTTTATTTTTAGTTTTAGCTTGAAAATAACTTTTAACTTAAAAAAAGAGAGGTGCCAAATAATATTTTTATATAGACGTAAATTAATTATTTCCTAATTTAATAAAATAATTTTGACTAAACAAAAGTTTTTAATTTGAGAATGAATACATTAAGGGGGGTGTATTGGATTGAGATTTCAAAGAATTTTAATGGATTATTTTTTGATAAAAAATTCCATTGAAATTTAATTAGGAGTTTAAAGGATTGAAAAAAATTCACGTGATATTCGATTGAGATTTTATAAGATTATTTTTCAATCCGGATTTTAGACAAAGGAAAAACAATCTTCTGGTATTCAAAAATTTGTCAATTTTAATAAATTTTATATTGGTGTGGATTTCATGAGACTTTTTAGTGATAAATATAAATAGGATGTCTCCCTCATAATCTCACCCTTATCCATAGGATTTTTAGAGATTTATCTATTGTAGTGTCTTCTTCTTCCTTTGGCGAGTTGACCCGCTCGAAACCTGGTTTCGTCATAGGAGCTTCGTCAAAGATAAAAAATAGCATACTTTTGAGCGACTTTCATTACAAAACAATCTAGAAATAACAAACCAACAAGATTCTAATATAATCCATCTCAAAAATAATAGATTTTGTAGAGTTTTTTGAAGTTTAAAAAATGATTTTTCAAGCAATGAGTCACGATTTTTTTGACACAAAAAGATATGATTTTTGTATTAAAAATAACATAAAACAATGGGAAAACAAGATGGGAACTAAAATCCTCAAATCGATTTTCATTTTACATCAATGAAGCAGGATCAATTTAAAGAAAGATTGAAACTTTCATAATATAAACCCTATATTTCGTAACAATACATTCATGAACGAAATTCCTTGGCTATAGGAAACGATTTCAGATAATTTTTGTGTCAATAGATAACTAAAAACTTTTTTTTCAAAAGCTCCAAAGCAATTTATAATAACCCTTACTAGTAATTGTGGATTTAATATCGAAGAATAATTAGAAGTAAAAGAAATAAAGTCACCTTTGGTGAAAAAGGAGTTAAAATGACAGTTAAGGAGTAAAAATTCGGGTAAATAAAGTTACCCGAAAGTAAAAAGTAAAATTATAAATATTACCATAAAAATATTCTGGACTAGTGTGCAAAGTTTGGTATGGAATAGAGGTGTGTAGATAAATAAACCTTTACTCAATTGAATTTAACACTGCCTATATAAGTGAAACTTCAACAAAAAAAAAGGATACAACCCCGTCTTCTTCTTCTTCTCGGACAGAACCGTGGCCTTGGTGTGCTTCCAGGGCTAGGAATTCATTTATTCTACAAGCTATTTCCACACAATGTGCATTTCATAAAAATTGTAGTGCAACCTCTTGTGATAAAAACCCAAGCCTCCTTTCTCTTTGGGATGCATTGAATCAAGAGATCTCCCCTCCTTTCCATTTTCGTGTACTGTTCATTGCTGAAGAAAAAAAAATGATGTTTTGCTATGATTTAAGCTTGAAGATTAACATTTGGTTGGTGTAGGACTTATCCAAGGTAAGAAACTCCATTTATAATTGTTGAATCCTTGAATTTAAGATTTAGGTTTTCATGAAAATATTGTTGGAATTTTGTATGTTGAAGAGTATGAATGGTAGTATGTTTTGATGATGAAATATCTATATTGATGTTTGTGGGTTGATTAAATCAACTAGAAGTAAAGAAAGCATAGAAAAATTGCATGACTTTCCTAACCTATTGTCGGCCATGAAGAGAAAAGCACGCTTGAAATGTGTTCAATGTTGTTTCAATGATGCTTATGAATCCTTACATATGTTGGTGTTGAATGGATTAATTAGTTAAACTTGGAAGAACCCTTTTGTACCATTTTCAGCCATGTAGAAAAAAAAGGTATGTTGAAAGGTTGTTAGCGTTGCTTTGATAATGGGTAGTGTATATTGATTGATGTAATGTACCATGGATGCAAGTATAAACGATGGAAAACATAAAATCCCATAGACTCCCTATAGGTGCATTTTCGGCCCTTTGAAGCAAAAAAAATCATTTGAGAATGTGTTTGATCATGGTTTAGGGATAGTATTTTGCCACATTTTATTTTAATAAAATGTGTTGTATTTCAATGTATTAATTGATGAGTTAAGAAGTGAAATGGCTTGAGAAATTGTGAAAAATATCGTGATTCCCTAAGGGTATGTCAGCGGCCTTTTGAAGTAAAATTGCATGACTTATATAGAAAATTCTCAAGTGGATACTTTATTAAATTAAAGAACACTAACGATTATAAATTGGTATAGACTTGTGTAATGGCATAGGATTGACAAAAACGTAAAGAAATAAAAATAAGCGATAAAATGTATACCTTATGTAAGGATCATGGCATAGTATCATTTTATTGATTTTGTTGTGCATTCTTCTCTAGGTGTGCCTAGGGATAGAAAAGGAGTGGAATCTTGTTAAAGCGATGTAAGTAACTTGTGCAACAAGTAAGCGTATTGGTAAAGCTTCAAGAGGTAAGCTATATGTTTAAGGAGTCTTTTCCTGTTTGAGTGCTCCACCATGGTTAGTGAACTATGGTTGGACTGTATGACTGTTGTTTAGATGCTTTGTATAGATGCATTCATATAGAGTTATTTGATAACATGATATGACTTGTTCTGATATGATTTATGTATTGATGGTATGGTACACTGATGTCTTCATGGGGTTTCCCTGAGATTGACAATGTACACCTCTGACATGTTCTGGTCCCGCTTGGGGTCCTCCCTTGGGAATGACGGCACACGCCTCTGATATGATATGGATATATGCTTTGTTCTATTGGGAACACGTGCGTTTATTTCCGCTTGGGGTCCTCCATTGGGAATGACGGCGCACGCCTCTGATATGATATGATATGAAATATGTTTTGTTTTGTTATGATATCTGTTATGATTGCATTTGTATACTCTGTATCTGACTTTTGTGCAGGAGTGAGCCAGGGGTATGGAGAATTCTCTATAAACCTGGAGCTTATTGAGATTTGTAATCTCACCCCTCTTTGGGGACATATTTTTAGGTGCCCAGGTTCCCGGTGAGTCCTCACTAGGCAGGGACGTGACCCGTGGCGGAGACGTTGGGACGGATCAACCTTTTGAATAGTTGTAGGCTACTAACCTTTTGGAGTGCATTTATGTCATTTTGTATTTCCGCATTTGATGGATCATGATATTGATCCTTTATTTTGTATATGACATGTATATGTTTTGTACATGTCTGTCAGTTTGATGTATGTACATTTGGGTATTCAGACACGTTATATGATGATGTATTATTCAGTTTATGATTTCGTGTTGGATTGCATGTTGATTAGGTATAGTGGCATAGAGCCATATTATGCATGCGCCCATGGATGAGTATCTGATTATATTTGCATGACTGATACTTCTGGATTGATGTGTTGTATAAACTGTTTACCAGGAAATGCTTCTGAGTGGGATTGAAAAATCCCCAATTGTCCGATTTATAGAGGAAACTCTGCCCGATTTTCGTTTACGCCGAGTAAGAGTTAAAGTAGAAAAAGAAAAAGTTAGCTCGCATTTTTGTAAGTTAAGTCTTTCGCTGTTTCTGTTTATATCATATGCATGTTAATTGAACCGGCTCGAGACGGAGATGTTACACAATTTAAGATTTCAATATATCGATTGAAATAATTTGTGAATTTTTTTAAACTTTTATGTAATAAAACCCAGAATTTCAGATTCAAAATTTTCTTAGAATACTCAATGAAAACATGCATATAATAATGATTAGAAAATTCTCATCACGTAGAATAAAAATCCCAAGATTTCCAATATCAATTGCAAAAAATTTCAAATGAAATTTTATCATGAACTTTAGGTTCTATATGCAAATTTAGAATTATTCTAATAAAAAAAAAACTGGATCCTATAATAATATATGGATAGTTCTGAACTTGCCCCATGGCAGATTGGAAAATAACACTGTTCGCGTGGCATTTAAGTAAAAAAGTTGGTGAACAGTGGCACAATGGTCACTGTTCCGAAGAGATGTTACCTAGTAATTTTGAATGTTTGTTAAAAATTGTATTATGTTTTACTAATTGAGAAATTTATATTAGGTTTTAATTATTTTTATTATTATCATTGCATTTCTTTGTTATTTTTTTATCGACTCTTATAATTTTGAATATTTATTAAAAATTCATATGATTTTTTAAAATCTTATAAATCTATATTGTCCTTTTAAATCCTATAAATTCTATTAAAATCCTTTAAAATAAGATCTTATGACATTTTGATTGTAAAAAATCTTTTTAAAAAGTCTTTAAAGTCCCTCCAATTCTAAATAATCTTTTAAAATCTATAAAAATTTGTATATCAAAAAATATATTTTAAAATCCTAATTCAAAGCCCAGCACAGTTGACAGATAGCTGGATTCCTTAAGCATGCTGACAGGGTTTGATTCCTGGCCGTGCATATGGAAAAAGTTTTGTTGGAAGATTTATGCACTTAATGTGATCTCCCACCTAAAAAAGATTAGTTTTTGGCTGTCGGCCGTACCTTGGGAAACAAAAAAAAAATAAATTTAATCAAAATTCATGGCGTGTGTAATAATAGCATATAAATAGCAAAAGCGTGACCAAATGACTCACCGCTGTTTTTTCTAACATTAGCGAGACAAGCTTGGCTTCGAGCACGGACTAGGGATCAAAAAATGACCCATCTCGAAGACTTTACTTTAGATCACAAACCCATGTTTCTTCAAGTTTCAACGCCCTCAGGAATCAACCCCATGACATGATTTACAATTCTCATTGCTTCTTCACGTTCCTTCGGAATTTGAGTTCTTTGTTCAACCACATTTGGCATCTCTGCTCATGGACACTCCTCTATGTCTTATTCTTCTCTTTTGCTCCCTTTTTGCAACTGGGTCCTCCTCCATTCAGAATTTTCACCAACCGTAAGTTATTATCTTCTTTTGTTTCTTCTCGGTTTTTGGCATATCGAAGTTTGTAATGTATCTAGTTCCTGAGATCTGGTAACCGTTAACTTTTACAAGCTCACAAGCTTTCATTTTTTATTTTTTTTTGGTTTCGTGCTCACAAAAAACGAAAACTTTTTCACATTTTCGATCATCCCAATACATTTCATTTCCTGCTTTCGTCATTGGGGGATTTGAGATTCGCTTTTCCATTTGTATATCTTGAGATGGTTTGTAAACATTCAATTTTTCAAGATGTGAAGGGATGTATTTTGTATGTTGATGAAAAGTTTCCAACCAAATTATGAGCCCAGGAAGTACTTGAATGGAGGGGTTTGAAGGGAAAAGGAAATGGGAGGTGGGTTAATTTTTCATTTCTGAATTAAGAGTGTTATAAAATGTTTATAAAATTGAGTAAGGGATAATTGAAAGGTTAGATGATAATCTCTCATTTTATTCCTTTCATTTTGAAAAATTATCTATTAAGGAGGATGTTAAATTAAATGAAAAGTTAACCCTCCCTTCTCTTTCCATCTAAACGTAACATAAATGTTAATGTAGGCTAGAAGTTTTCTTACGGGTTGGAAATTGTTCCCCTTTTCTTTTAATGCTTATATATGTACTTCGGTAACTACAGTTAGACCCAGTTTGGACCTGATGGATTGGTTGTCAATGTATCAATAGTGTGGAATACATAAGTTTTTGTGTGTTTTTAGTATTCAAGAAGGGTGTCAGAAAGTGAATACTTTCTCTCTGGCCATGTAGATCCAGTGTGGAATTGTCTTTACATGTGGTGGCCAAAAGAACATGTAGTGTGTATTTTTCATTTATATGGTTGAGCTTATGAGCTTATGTGCTTGGGTTAAAGGTGCTATTGATGTTGATGTTGATGGTTGAGCTTATGTAGCCAATTCAATATTTTGGGACTGAAACTCTTTTGTTCTTATTATTATTGATTAGTGACCAACTCTTTTTGTTGCTTTTGTTATACTCATTGTTCTTGTTCTGGTCACCTCCTTTTGGGTATTGTATGACTGAGTTTCTTCTGTTTGTTACAAAGTACATTTTACCTTGTAGTTTCAAGCTGTTGTAAGCTACCCTTATTCTTGTCCAATTTTTGTGTTTTAAGATTTCCAATTGTGGAACCTGATCCTGGTCATACAAAACTTCGTCTTTCAAGAGAAGGCTTGGAGGCTATTGAGAGAATAACAAACCCCATTGCATCTGTAGCAGTAAGTTTGACTGAAACTTTAGAGCATTCATAGTTTGTGTTTGTGGATTTTACTTGATATTTGATGTGGATTCTCATAACCCTTCATGATGTTTAATGGACTGGTTTCATGATGTAGGGAGTGTTTGGTAGGCGTGTTAGAAGGGGATCGAACATAACATGAACTTTGTTTTATGTTCAGTGCACTTTTAGAATAAAACAGAACTGGATATGGGTTTAAAAAGTGGTACATTTTGATTCCACTAAGAAGGAAGGAACCAAAGAGAACAGAACAGTAACCGTTACATTATATTTCATCCTGTTTTGTACACATGTCAAACACTATTATAATGATTAGCTAATATTATGTTCATTAACATCGTCCACATTGGCAAGTCATCTTTCCCTGAGTTTGTTGTTGATTGATATACGAGCACCTGCTCTTCTTTGTTCTTAAACACAATAGAGTTGGCTGTTGACTCATATTGAAACATGAATTTAATTTAAAAGGCATTTGCCCTGTTGCATGAGTTCCAAGGTTTGAGAACATGTTTTATATTAATTGGCCTTTTCTAAATATTACCATATAAAGTGTTGTGAAAGTCAAAACATGAAAGTCTTAATATTTCACAAATGCAAAGTATTGTTTTCTTCCCCTAAAGGTGAGACAGAAGAACTTCATAAGAGTGAGGAATTCAAATTTATGGATGGTTAGTTCCAAAAACTACCAAAGTTGATGATCCTCATCTTTTCCCATCGCGTTGCAACTTGCAATTAGATATTTGCTTTCTCAAGTGGTATCACTTAGCATATTTTCTTTTCAAGAATTTATGGATAGTTAAAATGTTGGAGATAAGGGTTTCTCTATTAGATCAGGAATGGAGTCTTATCATGTGAATTGATTTATCATTTATCTTATGCTTTGGAATGGATATTTTTTACTACTATTGGTCAACCCTCTTGCATATGTAGTGTTGCATATTAATTTGATAACCTGGATCAGTTGTTCACAATGCAGAAAGCTTGTACAGCATTGAATAAATGCTATTAGTTCCATGTTTACCCATTTATGGGTTCTACTTTTGTCACTTTAGGGCTGTGTTTATCATGTGATTGTTATGGCTGTTTTTATCAGGTGATTGGACCCTACCGCTCTGGAAAATCTTTTTTGCTTAATCAACTTCTCTCTCTTTCTTGTAATGAAGGTGCATCTTTTACAACTACTAGAATTTTACCCTCAAACCTACATTTTTAGGGAAAATATGCAGTCATAATTTGATAGCTTTTAGGGATTTAATGTAAATTAATATGTTTGTTTTGTTAGGGTTTGGTGTTGGGCACATGCGTGACACCAAGACAAAAGGTGGATGGAGATTGACATTCTTCTCATGGTTATGCTTAATTGGAGTTAGATATCATCTTTTTCAATCTATATTTATTCTCGTTTGGTTCATGTCATACAGGAATATGGATTTGGGGAACCCCTATAGAGTTGGATATTGATGGAGTAAGAACATCTGTCTTTTACCTTGATACAGAAGGATTCGAAAGCATCGGGAAGTCAAATGTATATGATGATCGGTAATTGCTGACTGATCATGCATACTGTGGTTATGATAGTTGTGTACTATTTTTCAGTTGACCTCTTCTTCTGTTTGCCTTTTGCAGGATATTTTCTCTGGCAACTGTCATGAGTTCTGTGCTTATCTATAATCTGCCTGAGACAGTTAGTTATCATAACCCCCTCAGAAATTTGTGCTCTTGTTTATGTTGTTGTAATGTTAGATGGACAGATGAAAGAAGTACTTTGTTTTGAGAATTAACAATATAGAAAAAAAATTCATGTTTCAGTGTTGAGTATAACATGGATCCTAGTTCTTATTGGTATACATTAGGTGACAAAAGCACATAGCTAGGGCAAGTGCAAATTTGCTAGTGTCTAATTATGAAAAGTTTAGTGCAAGTGCATCTTATTTTGTTTATTTATTTCATTTTATAATGATATATTGTAGTATAGAGCAGTTAAATATGGTTTATAATAAAAATCAGCAACTTAATAATATAATCTTTAATCAACAATGATTGAAAAGGAAAAAATCTTAATGGAGAAATATGAACATAATCATATTAATATGAATACTTTATTAGAGTGAAACTAAAGTTAAAATTAAGGAAATGGAAATAAATGCTATGTTATTTTTTAACTTTATTTTTTAATTAATTTTTTTAGCATACAAATTGAAAAACTAGATAAAGTCTCGTCCTTGGTTAGCAGACACAGACACAACACATGAATGGACTCTACTGCATACTGCATATAGAGTAGCATGCTATTGGCCTTGCATTGGCTAGGCCCTCAGATTATGTCTGAGAGCTGCAACAAACAATTTGAGACATGTCAAGTTATGAATCCGGAATTTTTAGTGCACAGAGTAGTATTGGATCAGGATCTGCCCTCAAATCATAAAAACTTGCACTAGTATGCAAAATGGAGGGCCCAGCTCTTGAATCTTGTGACACAGTGTATACATAATACATATTGGTCTAGGTGATAAATTTTCCTCTTTTGGTTGGGTTAATTCTGAAAGACTAACTTTTGGCATTAAAAAATATGGGATGGTTATGTTGCTGTTAGTACATTTAGAATTAGATATGGTTTTGAAGGAGGGATACAGTGTATTGGAAAATGGATTTGGGGATCTATGGAGTTAATGCATGCTCAATCAACAAATAATTTATCAAAAGAAAAATAGATGACCGGAAAAATTAATGCGCTGATAAGAATAATTTGATAACTAATCTAAAATCATAAATAGTCCTTTCCTTTACAATATTCAGTATTATTAGTGCTGTAGGCCTTCGGTGGTTTTGTGATCAGCTACGGAGAGAGGAAAACCCTACCTTGTGTTGTATTTTCAATTACAACACTAGATTTGAAACAAATGTTAGATTACCTTTTAGCTTTGGACCACTACGCACACAGTACTTTCCTTTTTAAGAAACTTGACTGCATTTGCATGTTTGCTGGTATCAACTTCAATTACTAGGTCGAGGCTGAATAATCTTGAAGCCCGCAGTCAGCAAATCTCTCATTTTGAGTTTTTTTGAGGCCATTCTAAAATGTTATCATCTTTGTGTATTCAGATACGTGAAGCTGACATCTCTCGACTCTCTTTTGCGGTTGAGCTTGCTGAAGAATTTTATGGGAGGTTTGCATCTTGATGAACTTTTTGTTTTTTGATATCATATAGATTATCATTTTCTCTTTTGTTATCCTTTTTAATATTGCTTTATAATCATTTTTTTGGGTAAATTGCAGTTACTAACTTGTTTGTTTGATTTGCAAATTCAATACATTATAATTCGCAACTTTCATGTATTGGAATAGAGTGAAGGTAGTCCAAAGGCCTTAGCACTACCCTCAGTTATCTAATCAATTTTTTCCATGACCTTTTTCATTTTTAATTTGATTTTTTGTTTGAATTGGTGGATTTTATAGGGCCAAGATGTTGCATTTGAACCTGCTAAGCTCTTGTGGCTTATCCAACGTGATTTTCTGCGTAAGTTAAATACTTGCCTTGATTGTGTTCATATATCAGCAACCTGTCTGCTCCCTTTTCTCGAGTCTCCTACATACAAATTCCAATAAAATTATTTTGGTCACTGATGAATTCTAGCAGCTGATCTCTCTGCTGTCCTTGTCATCATGTGCACTCCATTGGATACTTATATTTTCCTTAATTTCCTACAGAAGGGAAATCGGTGCAAGAAATGGTGAATGAAGCTCTTCAGCAGGTCCCCAATACTGATAGTTAGTACCGTTGCTTGCAGCTATGACTGAAATTCACTTAAAGTATGATTTTCCATATTTTCTAAAGCAAGTTTTCTGATGGTAGGCTATTTGTTTATTATTTATGTGCAGGGGACAAAAATATTGATATGGTATTTTCTCTTCTGAATTCAGTTTTCAATTATCAGTACCAATATTACTAGTCTGGAATTGAATGTTAATACTGAAAGTTTGCGTCATCAGGTCAATCAGATCCGGGACTCATTGGCTATAATGGGGGACAACAGTACTGCCTTTAGCTTACCCCAAGTATGTGTCTTCTAACTATTTTTCACATATCTCTTTCATTCCTTACCATTTCAACCCTTACATGGAATTCTTTAACGATTTTATCCCTGAATTCCATTATGTGGAGTTTTGGGTGTTTGTAAGTCCAGTTGTTTTGCATTTGAAATGATATAAAAACGGAACCTATCTATTGATTTCTACATATAAGATGGCGGATTTTAACTTCTTTATCGTCAGAGTCATATATGGCAAAGAAAGAGAGCAATGTTTCTCTAATTTATCTGACGTTTCCATATTGCCTTGGTGGTATTCTTCATTCTTTTATGCAAATTGAACTTCATGATATTGCCATACTGGATGGATCATTTCCATCATGACAGAAGTCTTGTCTTCTGATGAATGACAAAATATTGGCCTTTTCAGTTCCATTGCCAAATTTTGCAATTGGTAGAACTTAGAAATCCTTGCCCGATTAGTGCCTGCACCTGGCTTGTATTAATTATGATTACTAATCCATTATAAATTACAACTCTCTGCATTTTTAAACAGAAGTTAGTATTAGGTTATAGGTACAAAACCAATTTTCTTCTCCATTTCTTATCTACTGCTTGGTTCTGAAATGTCATATAGAAATACCATCGACTGGTAAAGGGATTTATGTTATTTATATGTCTGGTCATTTGAATGCCATCTTGCTTAAGTTCGTGTCTTTGGTGAGAAAGACCTTTAACTTTTTTTATTGTAAAGAATGTGATCTTAGTCTTGGAAATAATTGTTCTGATGCTTGCATTCAAGTGTTATTACAATTAATAGCCACCAATATGTTTATTTGCATCTTCAATCCACCTTTTTGTTGCTTATGTATGCATTCATATATTTATATTTCAAGATAGAGATTTTTTTTATTAATATGTAATCTTTTATAAAATGTCCCATGAGCCTAGCTCACTTGGTTGGGACATTTAATTGACAGTTCTTGATAGGGGGTTCAACAACCCTAGATGTAACATCCCTTTCCCATTCCCCTCCCCCTCTCCGCCCCCTAGTGGGGATCCTTTAGGCACCACTCTAGTGGTGGAGCCTCCCTTTGAGGCTCTAGTGCCAAAAAATTGTAATATTTGGTTTTTATTAAACAACTGCATTGGATGGCTAACTAATCATTGAAACTGGACTGTAAACAGCCACATCTCCAGCGTACAAAACTTTGTGACATGAAGGATGGGGAACTTGATCCATTATATGTTAAGAAAAGGGATAAACTAAAAGAGCTTGTTGCTAGCATGATCCGTCCAAAGATTGTGCAGGGCAAAACTCTAAATGGGAAGGAGTTTGTTTCCTTCTTAGAACAGGTACTTGGTTTTGCATGTTCTCTTTATAGGAAAGAATAAAAGTAATCATAGTTTAATATGAACTAAAGCTTCTAACTTGTTTTTCGTGTCAGTGGCATCTGTTCTTTCTTTAAATAATACTCTATGAAGGACCACTATGGAGGATTCTGTATGTCCCATATCTCAAAATATTGTAGTATAGAATCAGGATCAGCAAATCAATCAAGGATTTTGCCAATGTATTAAATGTCATGATGCCCTCATTCTCCTTAATATGAGCTATTGACTCATGTATTGCCCTGTTTTCGGTATATCTTATTGAAATTTATTGAGAGATTAAAAAATGTGCAAAAATATTCAAAATGTTCATGGGGAAGTTCTATTTTTGCGTTTAAGTTTTTGTGGAGGCAGAATGCAACGATGAAAACAAATAGGGCCAAAAATTTTATTTTATGCTCTTCGAAGTTATTATGGGTGGAAGCTAGAAGAATTGAAGAAATGATACAACTTCACCTCGTAGTAATATTTTGACCTTGAAGTTTAGTAAGGTGCACATTATTTTACTACTTTTCAGAACTGGTAATTTTTTAAGCAACACTCATATTTTTAAAGATTACTAATAATAAATTATATGTTCTTTTACTAATAAGGGACATGTGGTATTAGTATAAATTTTTGATTGGGACTCCACCAAAATTACTTAGAATGAGGAAAATTGATGTCTTGGTTACTATGTAGATACATCTCTTAAATTTTCAACTTTTAGTTGTTTAACTTGCACCTATAAGTTGTTCTATATCTCTGTTTGGATACAGTTACTACAAGAGTAAATCCTCTACTTGCTACTCCAAAGATTGGGGTATTACCACATTAATCATCCAAAGATTTTGTCCCCAAATTAGTCACTGAAAGTTGAAAAACGTTACCATATTCGTTCTTATGGAGGACTAATCACCAATTTGGTGACTACTTTGTATGTTTGAGGGATTAATTTGGTGACAAAAATCTTTGGAGGACTAATGTGGTATCTTTGAAGGACCAAGTAGAGGGTTTACCCCTTACTTTAGTAATTCATAAAATTTGAGATTTTTTTTTAGAAAAAAAATCTCAAATTATGTATACACTTCTGCTCTTTTCTTTATCAACCTTAGTCCTTTGTCATCTCAAATATAATCAGATTGAGGACTTAACTGCACAACTAAAATAAGATAATGTCTTTAAAATTGTGTGAATTCATTCTGTTTATCTTCATTAAACTGCTTTGATTTTGATTTTTCAAATTTAGATACTTGAAGCCTTGAACAAAGGAGAGATTCCATCAACAGGCTCTCTTGTGGAGATTTTCAACAAGGACATTCTTGAAAGATGTCTTCAGTTATACAGTGAAAGGATGGAAACATTGGGTCTGCCTCTTTCAGAGGAATCTCTGCAACAGTCCCATCAAAGGTTTAGAGGTGAAGCCATGCAAGCCTTTGATCAACAACATTTTGGCCGTCACCATGCTAAGAAATCAATCATGCAATTGGATGAAGAAATACATAAGGTATTGTCTGAATATTCATAGTATATTGGAAGATTGCAAAATAAAATTGGCTTAGTTGGGAGTATAATTAGCAGGTAAAATGATAGTAGAAAAAGTTAGTAGAATGATTTTCTCTTATCAAATATGTCTTTGTGGTTTTAGTTTAAGACTATTCTGGTTCTTTGCAAAAATAAATGAAGGTTTATAAATAGCAAAATCCTGTGGTTGTTAGTCTCTTGCTGTAGGGGACACACAGTGAGTGTGTCAGAAAGAGTAAGAAGCATGAGTTGCGAAAGATTTATGTACCTACAAAGCTTCAATGGTAAATATACTTTTACTACAATGAACGTTAAAAAGCAGCCTTTGATTTGATGATATACGGTTCTTTGCGGTCTGCTCTATTTTGGTCTTTGAGTTTGAATATGATGATTTCAAGCTTATATATACTATGGAAAATTGATATTTACTAATGAAAATTATGCAGGTACATAAGAATGTCATTTTACAAAATGAATATAAATCTTCAAAGCTATGTGAGTCATTGTACACCAGATGTGAGGATCTGATGGATCAGCTTCAAGTTCTCAGGCTTCCTTCCATGGCAAAATTTAATGCAGGTCTCCAGAAATGCAATCGTAGCTTTGAGCATGAGTGTGTTGGACCTTCAAAAACAAACTATGAGCAACGCATGATGAAGGTCTGGCATAATTACATAGTTTTGTCTTTTTTTACTCTATTGCTTGTGGGGCATAGCCTTTGTTATTTCTTTTTCATAGTTGTATTTCACTTGAACATTGGAATTCCTGAACCTTAGTTCAGTACATAGAAATGATTTTTGTTTCCTATTGTATCTGTCTATCTCTCTAGCTCTATTCTTAATGGAAAATGTGACCGTATATAAACTGAATTGACCTTTTAATTGTTACATAGTGGATTCATTTGTCATGAAAAGTGGAATCGATCCAATTCTTTATTTAGCAAATAAGTTATTATTGTTAATAATTTTTCCTCATTTGCTAGTGTTTGATATGCTTAATATACCTTGTTGTAACAAATGAATATGCAGATGTTGGTGAAGTCTAGGTCTCTATTTATAAAGGAGTACAACCACAGGCTTTTCAATTGGTTGGTGGCCTTCTCCCTGGTCATGGTAGTGATTGGCCGCTTTATTATAAAGTTCTTTTTGCTTGAAATTGGAGCATGGCTACTTTTTATATTTCTGGAGACCTACACAAGGATGTTTTGGTCAGCAGAGTCACTTTACTATAACCCAGTTTGGCATTTTATAGTTGCAACTTGGGAAACTCTTGTTTACAGCCCAATCCTGGATCTTGACAGGTAATTTGACCATTTTTCTTTCATACTTCCAACCAAATTCAAGTATCTGATGTAAGTTAAAACCTTTTCTTTAGTTGCTCTTAATATCCATTTTGATATAAGCTAGATAAGTGTAATTGTGTGGTTTTATGACTCTTTGCGGTTGGGGATGCATTTCTGCCCTTTGCTTCATCTAATACACATAACTTATTGAAAGCATTAATTGCATAAATAAAAACCTGCTAATGTTCTTCATTTTCCTTTCTTTCTATCAAGATTCAAATCTGCAGTTCATTTTTTGTTTTCAATTTAGATTTATATTTTTTCTGTTTGTTCTTTCTCATTCAAAATTTCTGAATATGACCTGTTGCTTTATTTTCTCTAAACAATGCCAACAAGTCAACCGAATCCAACTGAACCGGTTGACTTATGGGCACTGGTTCAGAACCAATTCGGATATACAAACTAGTTCTGAACTGGTTTCGAATCGGTTTTCTTAACTAGTTTTTTTGGTTCAACTGGTTCGGTTCTCAAAACTGGTTCAGAAAAATGCAATTCGGTTCGATTATTTTGCACAGCCCTACAAGTCACTAACTTATTCATTATGAGAATAGTGAGATTTTATGGAATATTGAGATATTGATATATGGTTATTTTGTTGATTGAAACAGATGGGCTATTCCCCTTGGTATAATGCTGTCATTTTTCATACTTTATTGGCGGTGTTATGGGAAAAGGAAACATGGATCCCGGTGGCTCTTACCTTTATACAGCAGCAATAAAAATGGTCCAAATAGGCCAAGAACAGACTAAAACCCATGATAACTGCAGTTGCAGACATGCTTTAAGAATTTGGTATGCTGCTCTCATAAATTCATTCCTTTTTGGCGACCTTTTTCTTTTTTGTACATGGAGCCCGCCTGCCCCCTTCTTCTTGAAAAATTCTTTTGCACAGAAGAGTCTATAAAAGGTTATCAGAGGGTAATTGACCTCTTTGGCAGCTTCTGTAACTTTAGCATATTCAAAAATGTTCTGTGCTTCCACAACATGTTGATTTTACAAATGATTATTACTTGGCAGTTATTTATGTTAGATCTTAGATTAAATTGGATTTAGATACATATGTTGTGTCCACCATCTCATGTATTGACTGGTAAACAGGTAAATTCAAACAAGAAAGAAAATAGAGGTTAATTCTTTATTCTTTTGTTTTCAGTTGTTGAGTTAGAATTGCAAGTGGAACTATAATGTTTGATACGCGTTGTATAGAGCTTGAAAAATGAAGAGGATGAAATTTTTTTCCTTTTTTTTGAACTATAGACTTAAGTTAATGGTTAATAAACGTTAGAGTTTTGTATTGTCCTTTTTAAGCTGCTTTTCATCTAATACTTAAATTATTTTAAAAATTACACAAGATGTCATTTTTTAATATAATTTTGAAAAAAAATTAGTAAAGTGTTTTTATTATATCAAATTTTGAGTTTATTTTCATTTTAACAAACTCGACTATTTTTTTATTATTATTGTTGATGTTTCAGTTTTTTATTCTAAAGTTATAAACAAATAAAATAAAAGTATATATATATATATATATATTTTGGGTACAATAAAGGGGCAAGGCCCCAAAGGAAAAATAAAATCAAAGAAAAGACAAAACAGAACAGATAGACTAATCCGGGGCAGCAAGTCAGATCTGGCAGGAGGACCCAATAGTATTAGAGGAGATCAACTTCTGAAGATTCTAGTCAGGAAAAGCTAGAATCGATGTTCCCAAGGAACAAGATAGAGCTACCTTTGCAATCCAATTCGTACAACTATTACTACTTCTCAAGACATGAGTAAATTTGACATTCCAAGATCTATCAACAAGAGCTCGAATCCTAACCACTAAATGCAGTTCTCGAGCATCATTACCTGTTAAGGTAAGCAATCTAATAGTTTGAGATGAGTCACCCTCAACTATTAGATTTTTTAGTCCAGAATTCCAAGTAAACACTAAGCCATTATGGATAGCCTAGAGCTCAGCAAGGAGAGGGGAGCAGCATCCCAAGAAAGTCTTGAAACCACCTAGCCATTTACCTTGACAGTCACGAATAAGGCCACCACAAGCAGTTTTTCCACATGTCACTGCCCCATCAAATCATTACAAAAGCTTGACAGTAAATAATTTAATATTCAAAATAATATTCTCAAATCATTACACTCTATGAATTATCTTAAAAACTGGATATGATAATATTATCTTATTAAATTTTTGACTTGATGCACATCACACTCATAATATAATGTAAATAAACCGTGATCAGATTTTTTATTTTTACTTTTATTTAACTTATTTATTTAATCTATTCTTATCGTATGTTGTTCACTAAGAGTACGTTTGGATTCACTTTTAAAAAGAGTTACTTTTATGCCTTACTTATTTTAAAAGTGTTTTTTATAAAAGCTAAGACTATTTAGATTTTTTTTTAAATATTTTTTTTTTGAAAAAAAAAATTAGTTTTTGACTTTTGATTTTTTGAGAAGTTAAAATTTTTAACTTCTGAAAAAAGTAAGTTTTTGTCTTTTTTTATGACTTCTGCTTTTTTTAGAAGTAGCATCTAAATGCACTTTAAACTAAAAGTGTTTTTTTTGAGAAAAAAAAGTAACTTCTGACTGAAAAAAAGCTCATTCAAACGGGTCCTATGAGGTCTTTTTTTATTGAAAATAACTTTTTCTCTCTACTTCAAAGAATCAAAATCAATCCAAGGCTAAAAAAATAGAAGAATCTAATGAAAAGTTCAATATGGCCACTTAAACTAATCAAATACAGTAAAAAAAAACAGATTATGTTGTGTTATTTTGAAATAGTGTCTATCATTGTTCCCCAAAAAAAAAATATTGTTGTTACAAAAAAAAAAATATTGTGTCTATCTGTATGTTGATAGATATCAAATAAATTTGTACCCAAAAAAAAAAAAAAAATCAAATAAATGGGATCATGAAAACAGAGATACACACAGGATTATGAGATACCTTTTCATGTGAAAGTATATGTGTAATTTCGCTTGAGGAAAGATTTCAAGTTAATGTGTATGCAAACTTTTTTTTATTTTAAAAAGTTAGTTTTATCATTATATAAAGGGGTTTGCATTTGTCATTTAACATGGCACAACAAACTTTCCTACCCACAACATTTTGTGGGACCCACACTTTTTGAAAAAAAAAAAGAAAAAAGAAATTATGGCACGCAAAACAAATCCCTATAACATTACACAATTACTTTTCCTATAACATAACTCTTATAAAACCCTTAGGTGGTGTTTGGCTGGGCTCTTTCTCAAATTTAGCTAGGAAAGTGAGAGAAGGAATCCTATTTAGCTATGTTTGGTTGAATAGAATGTGGGGAGAAAGCAGCCATCCAAGATAGATAGACTTTTCAATTTAAAGGGAAAAGCCATGTATCGGTACTATTTGAATAGCGTTTTGAGATACGATTTTTTGTAAAACCAGGCTAAGTCACTGTTTGAAAACATTTTTTGTGTTCCAATATACCCTTTCAATGAATATCGATCTCACCGAGAAGGTTGGCTAAAATCACACCCAGGAGAGATGGAAAGAACCCATTTTTGAGTGAGGGGAGAGATGAGGATGAAACTTGTGGACCCATTTGCCCTGGTTGTGGAGTCTTTATGCAAGATGAAGACCCAAACCTTCTTGGGTATTACCAACAAAGGAAGGTGAAAGCGGAAGAGTTTTCTGGTGAGGATGATATTGACGATGATGATGAAGTGGGGTTTTGGGATAGTAGTGAAAATAAGCTTGAAGAAGACACTGATTAAAAGATGAGTTTGATTGGGATTCTGATGAGTGGGAAGCTAAGTTTCTTGAGGAAGAGGATGATAAGTTGGAATTGGATGGATTTGCACCTGCAGGGGTTGGCTATGGTAATGTCACTGAGGAGGTTCTGGAGAGGGCAAAAAAGAAGAAGGTGTCAAAAGCTGAGAAGAAGAGGATGGCTAGAGAGGCTGAGAAGGTGAAAGAAGGGGTTACTGTTTGTGCTAGGTGTCACTCCTTGAGAAATTATGGACATACGTTTTTGTAATTTGCCAGCTGTGGGGTTTTTTTAGAATTTAAAATCAGGGTTATTTTAGTAATTTAAGATGGTTTACCTATCTATATCTCACCTCCAACCAAACATACATTTTCTAAAATTTACCTAATTTTCCTAGTAAAGTTTTTTTCCCACCAAACAACTTTTTTTAACATTTTCCTATCTATCTCACATTATCTAACTTTCTTACCATTTCTCTATCAATCATATTTCTCTAGTATTTCAAAAATTTTTCTTCAACCAAACGCCACCTTAGGGGCTGTTTGGTTGAAGGATTCTGTTGAAAATGATAGATAATGAGAAGTGGAAATATAAGAAACCATCGTTTGGTTCAAGGTGGTTCCTGACTTAGCTACCTAAATCTGAATGCTACCAAACGTATTTGCATAGCTATTGCAACCGATATTGCCGGCGAAAGTTGCTCTTGTCGCAGGTACACCTGAAAACCTCCAAATTTGCTCACACTGCATACTAACGAAAAGACTCTCGTACACTCTGTTTCTGTTTTTGTGTTTATGTGCTCATTCTCTGTGTGCCTCTCACTCACAACAATTCACATAGAAAGCCATTTCTGTGAAAAGCGATGCGAGGCGGAGCCTCCGTCTGCTCCGGTGACCGGTTTCTGTGTCTTCTTCCACAACTCACCAACTCAACTCGGTCACGACCCGTTTTTGTTCACCTCCAATCGAACGCGAAGCTTTTCCTGAAACCACATGGTTCCAAATTGAGTCTCACTCCTAGAGCTGCTGATTCTTCCACCACAACCACCACCAACAACAACAACAGTAACACACTCGTTCTTGACTATGGTTTCTCTCTTTCTAAGGTCTCTCTACTGGTATAACGTAGCAAGGCTAATTCAACTTTTTTTTAAAATAAGGGTATTTTCGTCATAGCACATTTTTTTCCATCTATATTTTATCAAAAGCCAAATATAGACTTTATAAAAATTACTTAATTTTTTCGGTAAAATGTTTTTGGGATAGGATATTGTGACAACCAAATAATGTTACTACCAATGTTACTACCACATCTTAACCGTTGATTTCCGCCAATCAACGGTTATCGTTTTTCAAATCAAACTCATTAATTAATTATTAATTCGCAATAAATAATAACCGTTGATTGATGGAAATCAACGATTAAGATGTGGTAGTAACATTGGTAGTAACATTATTTGGTTGTCACAATATCCTATCCCAATTTTTTTATACAAAACTTCTTTTATATATTGCTAGGGGTGTTCATCAACCGATCCAAACCGATTCAAACGGCGGTGACCGAACCGAAAAACCGATAACCGAATAAACCGAAAATCGAAAAATCGAAAAACCGATTAAAAACCGCAAATTTTAATTGGATTGGATCGGATTTTGGATGGGTTGATGAAAACCGATTCAATCCAAACCGATCCAATATATTAATTTCTCTCTACCTACTTGGGTCTTTTCCTAATCATAGCCCAAAAATTTCTAAACCAAAGACCCATTAACCAATCAACTAAACCCAAAAAAAAATTTAATCACATCACATCAACAAAATTTTATCTTTGAAGAGCTTCGTATCTCATTGCAAAAAAAAAAAAAAACTATGTTATAATTTATTAATACTTTTGTATTTCAAAAAAAATAAATTTTCAAAGCCAATATATACAAAAGTTGTATTTGCACAATAATTATGAAATAAATATTAGGATTTTTAAAAAACCGAAAACCAATCCAATCCAAACCAAAAAAAATTGAATTGGATCGGATCGGATTTGAAAAAAAATTAAAACCGAATGGATGATTATATAATCAAACCGAAAGAATTGGATCGGATGAGTTTTGCTTCCAAAACCGATCCAATCCAGACCGCGAACACCCCTATATATTGCTATCAAACTCATTTTCTCACCATTTTTCCACTAATCTCATTTCTTTATTATTCATGAAAATTTTCCCTCAACGAAACCTAACGCCCACTTATATAAATATTTCCGGTTCCATAATTCCGGTGAATAAGATTGCTTCCGATAAAAAAACAAAAAAGACAAAGGACGAGTTAGGAGTAGCGCTGCACATTTGATCACTTTAAGGAACAAGTCGAATAATTGGTAACAAAACCCTAACTGTAATTAAATGGAGACGCACGGCGGAGGAACCCTCCGTTACCGCAGCTCTCAGTCCCCTTCACCTTCCCACTCCGCTTCCGCCTACGCCACCTCTTCCATCCACAAGCGCAAGCGCGCGTCTGATGACCACGCGCCTCCCTTTCCCCCTTCTTCCTTCTCCGCCGACACGCGCGACGGCGCCCTCACCTCCAATTACGACCTCGAGAGCATCTCCGCCCGCGGCGCCGACTACGACAACGATTCCTCCATGCGCACCTTCACCGCTGCAAGGCTCAGCAACCCTCCCTCCGCTCCACGCAACACCAAGCTCAAGACCGATAATTCCAACGTTAAGATCGAGAATTCCGATGGCGCCAAAGACGCCGCACCCGCCGGGACTGGTGCCGTCGGCGCCGCCGCCACCGGCGGCTCCGTCCCCGGCATCGTGGTTAAGGAGGACGCAACTAAGATATTTACTGATAATTTACAAACTAGTGGTGCTTACAGCGCTAGGGAAGAGAGTCTCTGGAGAGAGGTAACAACCCCTTTAGCCTCATTCATGAATTTCATAAAAAAAAATGGGATAGGATATTGTCACAACCAAATAATGTTACTACCACATCTTAACCGTTGATTTCTGCTAATCAACGGTTATCAATGAGTTTGATTTAAAAAATAATATCCGTTGATCGACGGAAATCAACGGTTAAGATGTGGTAGTAACATTGCTAGTATAGTAATATTGGTAGTAACATTATTTGGTTGTGAAGATATCCATTCTAAAAAAAATATGAATAATTATTTGTAAATTATGTTTGAAAATTGTTTTAAAACTCACAATGTAACATAGTAGTTTTCACATTTGGCTTTTCCCTTTTTGTTGTCTGTTGGTTTAAATTTTAATAAATAAATAATTACGAACTATTTTGAGGTGATTGGTGTTCATGGTTCATGGTTGTGACGACTATGCGGTCATCTGAAAATTTTTCAGGAGGAAGCAGGAAGGCTCAAATTCGTATGCTATTCGAATGATGGCATTGATGAACATATGATTTGGTATATATTCCTCTCTTGTCTTTGACATTTACGTGGCCCTGCCTGCACTACTCATCTCCTTGTTAGCATTTCCGCAAATAAAGTATTAAATATTTATACTTCATTTAAGCAGGGGGATCCAAAAATTTAATTAGTGAGTGAGGGGGTTAATTATAAAAGTTAGAGTAAAAATATCTTTTTGTATTTTAAAGATGTAATTGATATTAAATTTGTCCACCTTTTATAGGAGATATCAAATTGGTTCCCAAATGGCAACTAATATAATTATTCTAGTCCATTGAAAGATCAATTTAGTGGAACTTGAAAGACCACTTTGATGGTCTTCATATATGAAGCACCGATACTCCTTAATTTTTTTCCAACGTAATCATAAACGTATTGTATCATATCGACATCCCGTATCGAGAACGTATTGGAAACGATTCGAAAACACCGTGTCGGAATCGGTGCTTCATAGGTCTTCATTGACATTGAGGGGCCATTTGGGTGCTAATAAATAGAGGACCGATGTGATGCCAATATATATTTTGAATATCAAAGTAATTGTTTAAAAGTTATGATATTAAAATAAAAGTTTGGTAGTTTAAAAAATAAATTTAATCTATCAACGTTGAGCATAATGCACTTAATCTGTGTGTGTCTCTTTCAACAAAAAAAATGTGTTTTTTATTTGTTTGTTGAGCTAGTAGACCAAATAATCTAATAAGATACATTCGGATTAACCTAATGACTACTTAAAATTTTCAAAATATAGTAGGAGGCCAATTACAAATTGGTGCAAGAGTAGATACATTTAACATGAAAAACTATTATGCATACCCACAGGAACTGGCTGGATGAAATTCAGTTGGCAATTTTTTTGTGTTCAAAAAATCAGTATTTTTTTTTTTTGTAAATAAAAACTCAGTATTTTTATAATTAGCAAAATGATCGTCAGTGATAACGAGTTCCATTGTTGACTTTGTTGTTCCTCAGGTTGATAGGATTGAAGAATATATTTGGTAAGCAACTTCCAAATATGCCCAAGGAGTACATTGTCCGACTTCTTATGGATAGGTAATGCCAACAATATTTTAAGTACCCAGCGTAATTTCATACTCATATGATGCTGAAATAAATCTGTGTATGTTTTGGATCTGGTGAGAATTAATTCTCCATCCAAAAGCAAAAATAACTCCAAGGTTATGTAGGAGAATTATTTTGGATTGCCCAACAGAATCCCAAACAAGCATGTCTTACATATTTTTTTCATTAAATATAGATTTGATTAACTCGTTTCTAGTTTGGAATGTAAAGTTTTTACATTTGGATATAGTAACAACCGGAAAACTTATTTGATAATGATTCCCCGACCCCTCCCCCCTTTTTTCTTTCTCCATTGCAACTAAGATCCTGAAATCTAGATGTAGAAATATGAGCAGACACGTTTCAAGTTAACTATGAAGTGTGGGGTGGGGTGGCCCCTTGCTTTTATGGTTTCCCAAATCATTTTACTGCCATATATTACCTGTTCTTTCCTCCTTTGTGACCAACCAAATATGAAACAGAGAATTAGAATGAAGGGCATTAGACTATCATCTCTTGTTCTTTTATTTAAGATTAAAGTTTGATATTACATTAGGAGGTATCTGTTGTTTGATATATTGAGATTTTTTTTATACAAATTCTAGTCTGCCAGCATGGTCAGTTCATAGTGATTTGTGAACTAGTTAATTCATTAAATAAGAGTTTGAAACTGTAATATAGATTTCTTTATTCTAAACAAGCTCTTTTAAATAAGTTTTTCCCTGTTATCCTTGAGTTTTATCTTACTGTCTTTATAATTTTAAATTCTCTTGATGTTAAATTTGCAGGAGTCATAAGTCTGTAATGGTCATAAGGCGTAATCATGTTGTTGGAGGCATTACATATCGCCCATATGCAAGGTAATAATTTGTCTCCATATCTACTTTTTCTTCAGATCCTAGCAGTCTCTGATTATGTTTTGTCTCTGAAATTTTCTATTTTTGCTTCATTACTTTGATATTTTTCCTGTATTAATATCTGAAAACTTAAGGTTTACATAGTTATTACTTGTTATCAAAGATTAGCTTATAAAATGGTGAACTGTTGTCTCTCTGTTTTTATTATTGTTATATTGTCCTATGCAAATTTGCACTTTGGTTGCAGTGATGAAAATGCTCCTCAAGGTCCATTTAAGTGAATAATCTGGGATTAAGTTGGACGGATATTTTTGTAGAAAAGACCTAAGTTTTAAATAGATATTGTATTTCCTTGTTTTGCCCCATTATTTTTGTTTTTTGCCCACTTAGTGATATCATTACCTTCCCTCCCTCAAAAGGAAAAAAAAAACTAAACTTGCAAGGCTAATCCATGGTTTTATTTACTAATACTGATGTGCTCTATGATTTATAGCCAGAAGTTTGGTGAGATAGCCTTTTGTGCAATTACAGCTGATGAGCAAGTAAAAGGTTATGGTACCAGATTGATGAATCACTTAAAACAGTATGCACGTGATAAAGATGGGTTGACACATTTTCTCACATATGCTGACAATCATGCTGTTGGCTATTTTATCAAACAGGTCTGGTTATTGATATTTAAGATCCTTATTATCTGGGCATTTATTTCTTCTTTCGTGTGATAAACCTAAGGTCAGTAGTGACAAAGATATGTTGCTTTCTGAAAACAAGTTTTTGGATTTTTCTTTTTGGGAAATAATTATCTCATGTTGCATGAGATAATTATCTCATGCAAGTAGTGGGGTCTACTATTTTTTTTCTTTTTTAAAAAAAAATAGTGGATCCCACTATCTTGTATCTGTTGCATGAGATAATTATCTCATGTAACATAAGATAAATAGATCCCTTTCTTTTTTACCAAAATGTATTCAAATTTTCGAACTTATTACAAAAATAATACATTTTTTAAACAATTTCCCTGAATAACATGGATTGCCCAAGTTCCATGGCAGGAAAAAACCGTATTTCTAACGTGTAGGTGCAATATGGATTGTGCCACCCTTGCATTGGCTCATCCTTCTTGGATTGTGCCAGTAGGGAAGGTGCAGCCATGTGATTTATCATCAACAATATCTTTATCTGAAATTAGTTAGGGTTGGTGGCCAATGAACCCAAATGAAAAGTAAGAAAAGATTGAAAAGAAAGAATAAAAATAAAAAATAAAAAAATAGAAAAAAAATTAAAAATACAATAAAAATAAAGTGAACATAAAAATAAATAAATGAGAAAAATACATAAGAGAAAATGCCTAATTTGGGTTAAAAAACTCATTTTCTGTCTGACAAGGAAGGTTTTCTACGTGGTCCTTGTTGGCTTGGTTGGTTAAAGATGAAAGAAGAACATCTGAATTTTACCAACTAGCATTACATAGTATGAAGGCCAACGTATATTTTTTGGTAGGCACACTCCCAAATCTAGATAATAGTTGTTAAGTCATCTGCTGAGAACCTATGTTTTTGCTGATAGGAGGAGGCTGTCAATTTTAGTTTTCCTTCGGAAAAACTTTTACAAAGATTTGTCTATTTCCTGTTTAAGTTTGTCAGGAATCTGATTGGCATAGAATAGTCCCAATGTACAGTAGCAGTGATATAGGAATCTTTTCTGTTGTGTTGTTTTGGGGGGGGGGGGGGGTGGTGTTTCTGGAAAAATGCCAAAATGCCATTCTGTTGAATGGACTGGATACTGTTTTAGATATTGCAATGATGTTTGAGTGTTTTACAGGGATTTACAGAAGAGATTCACTTGGAGAAAGATCGATGGCAAGGGTACGGTACTTATACTCAATCTCCTTGTCTTAAATCTATTAGCAGCACTTCTCACTAGGTCCTTCATTTTATTCTTTTTTAGATGTAGTGTCTATTAAGAAAGATGAAAATTTTTATAATTTGATTTTGTTTAATTTATATTTGATTGTTAGGAGTGTAGAGCTGCAAAATACCAATTACAGGGATTTTTATTTAGATTCTGATTTTTTATCCCATAGAATAATAATTTCATCATTCACTATTTATTTACGTAGTTGTATTTTTGTTATTTTGTTTATTGTCAATTAGAATTCATTACAATTAATTGTCATTTCAGTTATATAAAGGATTATGACGGGGGGATTCTCATGGAATGCAAGATTGATCCAAAGCTCCCTTACACTGAATTGTCACCTATGATCCGTCGTCAAAGGCAGGTAAGATGATTTCTACTTGTTAATATTTTAGTTTAGTTTTACTTTACATTATTTGAGATTATCTTAGATTATGATAAGATACACTAATGAACTTTCTTATTATAGTTTTAATATTTTTCTTTCAGTTAAAATAATAACCTGTTTCACTTAAATTGGGTTTTTCTTTTCAAAAACAGACCTTATTTTTTTCCCATTTGTTATAAGCTTGTCCTCTCAACCACATATGCATGCTCACTGCAAAAGGTGTGCAAGGGGGTTGTCAAAAACTTTGCATCTGGAACCATGATAAAATGGGGCCTGACAAGGTGTCCACTCATTCACTCCCATAAGACAGATGAAATCATTATCATTAGTATCGCACAATATGATTCTATACAGAACAAAAACGATACGGATCAAATGTGAATCGGAGTAGATCATGAAACGCTCCTTGAATTGCGGAATCGCATGATTACGTTTTGTATTGCGAATCATATCAATAGTGATAACATTAGTCTTGATGATTGATGAGTAAACAACTGGTTTTAAATTTGGTTACTTATGTATTTTGCTATTTAAATTTAAGTGATTTTTCATTATGTGTTTGAATCTTATGATTCGATACGATTCACGACAATTTAGTCACTCTAGAACTAGGAGTTCATTTGTCACCCTTGAAAGGCAATAATGTAACCTGGAGTGCAATCATGATTTTGTAGTAAACGATTTCTGTGAAGAAGCCATGAATGGCGAAGGAAGAAGAAGAGAGGAGAAAGAGAGAGATAAAGAAGATCAGAAAATATCTCTATATGTAAAATGAATTGATGTTACACCGATGTAAAGTCATGTACTCTTTATCTAGAGTAGTTGAAGTATGACTCAACAATCAAACTAACTAAACCTAACTATACAACAGAATTTGGTTAAAATCTAACCATAGATCTGAACTAACTAGGGGTAGATACTGTACTACAGTCAGGAACATAGTATCACGCTAAGTCGCAGTAAAAATACAGCAGTAACAATAAGCTAATAATCATAAAACCTAAAAAGTATGTGAATCTCTAATACTCCTATCCCAAGGTTCTTTGTTTGAAATGCACTGAATAAATACTGTTTTAACTGACGAATTCTGTCTTGATCACTTCCGGTGAGAATGATGTCATCAACATAGACTAACAAATAGATGCACTTATCAGGAGATGTGATCCTATAAAATACAAAATGGTCAACTTTACTGCGGATTAAGCCAAACGCTTGAACTGCAGAACTGAAGCGACTGAACCATGCGCGAGGAGACTGCTTGAGACCATATAAGGATTTTCGAAGACGACACACCTTCCTAGACTCCCCCTGAGCAACAAAACCAGGTGGTTGCTCCATGTAGACTTCTTGTAAATCACCATGAAGAAAGGCATTTTTGATGTCAAGTTGAAGGAGTGGCCAATGACGAACAGCAGCAAGAGAAAGAAATAGGCGAACTGACGCCATCTTAGCGACCGGAGAGAATGTATCGCTATAATCAAGGCCGAAGATTTGAGTAAAACCCTTTGCAACTAGGCGTGCCTTGAGTCGATCAACATGGCCATCAGGTCCAACTTTCACAGTAAACACCCAGCGACAACCTATTATAGACTTCTCTGGAGGAGCAGAAACAAGGTCCCAAGTGCCATTGGAATGAAGTGCAGTCATCTCATCAAGCATCGCTTGGCGCCACCCTGGATGGGAAAGTGCTTCACCTGTGGTTTTAGGAATAGAAACAGAAGAAAGACTAGAAACAAAGGTGAAATGAGGTGAAGAAAGACGGTCATAGCTCAAAAAGGTATAAAGAGGATAAGGATTATGAGTAGTAGGTGTACCTTTTCTTTGAGCAATGGGAAGAGCCTCTGGTGAAGGATCCGGAGAGGAAGAATCAACAGCAGTGGGCGATGAGTCAGCAAGAGTCGAGTCGACAGGAGGCACAGTTTTGCGACGCTGATAGATGAGAAGTGGACGGTCCGCAGGTATAGAAGCAATAGGTTGCTCATAGGGAATAGAAGCACTGCAGCTGGCAAAGATAAGTCAAGAAAAGGGACAGGAAGAACATGATCAACCTGTGACAACAGAGATGGGATAGAATTAAAGGGTTGTTGATCAAGAAAAGTGACATCAGCGAAAACTAAGTAACGCTTAAGATCGGGAGAATAACAACGATAACCCTTTTGAAGACGAGAATAACCAAGAAAAGTACATTTAAAGGCTTTAGATGTTAACTTGTCCTTACCAGGGGTGAGATCATGAACAAAACAGGTACAACCAAAGACATGTGGGGATAGAGGATAGAAAGGAACATCTGGAAGCAATAAGTTATAAGGAATGTCATTATTAAGCACAGATGAAGGCATACGGTTGATGAGAAAACAAGAGGCAAGGACTGCATCGGCCCAAAAGTGAAGAGGAACATGCATGTGAATAAGAAGAGTCTGTGCAGTCTCAATGAGATGTCTATTTTTACGTTCAGCTACTCCATTTTGTTGTGGAGTGTAAGGACAAGTAGTTTGGTGTAAAGTACCCTGTTTGGCTAAGAAATTAGAAAAGTCCACATAAACATATTCCTTAGCATTATCACTACGTAAAATATGAATAGAGGCACCAAATTGAGTATGAATTTCAGAAGAAATTTTTTGATAAATAGAAAACAACTAAGAACGGTTTTTCATTAAATAAATCGAAGTGCAACGGGGGAAATCATCAATAAAGGTAACGAAATACCGAAAACCTAAAACAGACAAGGTACGACTTGGACCCCAGATATCTGAATGAACAAGAGAGAAAGGGGTATCAGCTCGTTTATTGACTCGACTAGCAAAAGAGGAGCGTGTATGCTTCCCTTGTTGACATGACACACAATCTAAAGACCGAAGACCGGATAAAAGAGGAACCATCTTCTGCAACCAATGTGGGACTATATATCTCAACAACTCCCCCGCAAACTAAGGGGATTTGGGCGATAAAGCAGAGTCCAAGACTTGAAGTTTGTGATGTAATTCAGAAATCTGACTGGGGAGAGAGCTTTTGTAAGTGTGTCAACCACCTGGTCCAAAGGAGGGACATGAGAAACAATAATGTCTTTGGCAATAACATGTTACACGGACAAAATGGAGATCAAGCTCCATATGCTTCGTGCGAACATGTAAAACAGGGTTGTGAGACAAAGCAATTGCACTCAAATTGTCACAAAAGACTTGCAGAGTGGAAACATGAAGCTGTAATTCACGACGAAGGGACTTAATCCATAAAAGTTCTGATCAGGTAAGGGCCACACTACGGTATTCAGCTTCAGCAGTGGATTTGACAACCAATGAAGATGCAAGCTACAAAAGTAGACCTCCTATCATCTGGATCACTTCCCAGTTCGCATCACTGAAGGCAGTCAGGGAGAAAGGCTGCTAGGAGCTAGCAAATTGCAACATTAGGCCAAAAGAGCTGATGCCTTTGAGATAGTGTCGGATTCTCTTCACTGTCTTCCAATGGTCATCCAATGGCTGACCCATGAACTGGCAGACCTTATTTACAGCATATCTGAAATCAGGCCTGATGATGGTTGCATATTGCAATTTGCAAAATACCAACGATGGATGTGTATAGATGCGGGTTTATGAAGGTTTTGGTTCCATTGAAGTTTCTTTAACAGATCTAGGGTTTAATAGAGCTTACTACTGTTGCTAGACTTTGATGCGAAAGATATTATGGTGGTGATATGGTTCAGGCCATCAGAACGAGGGCTCTGATGCCTTAAATGTTTCTGTGAAGAAGCCTTGAATGGTGAAGGAAGAAGAGAGAGAGAGAGAGAGAAGATCAGAAAATATCTTTGTATGTAAAATGAATTGATGTTACACTGATGTAAAGCCACATACACTTTATGTAGAGTAGTGGAAGTATGACTCAGCAATTAAACTAAACTTAACTATACAACAGAATTTGGTTACAACCTAACCATAGGTCTGAACTAACTAGGGGTAGATAACCTACTACAGTCAAGAACATATTATTACACTAAGTCAATGTAAAAATACAGCAGCAACAATAAACTAGTAATGGTAAAAACTAAACAGTAAGTGAATCTCTAACATGTAGAATTGGAATTTCATTATTTAGTTTAGTTTAGTTTATAATTGCTAAATTTTAATTTCTTTTGTAAATGCTCTTTGTAATTCTCTGTTAGTCAATATAGAGGGTTTTTCTCCCCCAAAAACAAGTGGCAGGCAGAACTTTACATCTCATATCTAAATTTTGGAGAGAAAATCAGGTGAAAACCATCATGTGGAAATTTGTCGACATGTTAGGCTGGACTTTTTGTGAAAATTAAGACATGATGATAACTAGGTTTTACCTTGTCCCGACTAGGCTAATGCTAAAGCTCAACACAGCCAATCAATAAAAACAAAAAAGGGAACAGATTTTTGGATTGTATTTTCAGTCATTTATATATATTTGCATGCATTATTTTATTTCTGTCTGATGTGTTGCTTCTGACCGCCTTATTTATTTTTAATTTTCATAATTTTTAACATATTTTAATTATTGTTGGTTATAATGGTAGGCAATTGATGAAAAGATCAGAGAGCTGTCAAACTGTCACATTGTTTATACTGGAATTGATTTTCAGAAGGTATAAGGCATTCTTCATTTTGTATGTTTCGATCATTCATGTATAGCATTTGAAGTTTTTCCTATATTAAGTGAGTTTTGTTGAATTAGGATTGTATTATCTGCTCAATGCAGATTGCATTTGGCATATTTGCACTGCACTTATACCATGTGCAATGCATGTATCCCAACTTCCTTGACAATGTGTAGGGCTTGGGCGTAGGGGAGAGGATCATCTATTATTTTAGCCAAAGTTGCATTTTGCTTCTTTTTCATGTATCAGTAAGATTAGAGAGCGTATGGAATATTAACTTTTTCCCCTCCTGATCAACACAATATGCAGAAAGAAGCTGGTATTCCCAAAAAAATTATTGAGGACATCCCTGGTTTGAGTAAGTACTTAATTTCCGATCTCAGTTTAACAACTTACCAATATATTTTAGTTTTTACTATCTGTTTTAGGTTTGTTAACTTTTCCTTGTATGATGAGATGTCCACCTCCCATTCAAGACCTTGTGCATGGCATCTAACCTTTTTGCTGCTTAATGCTGAGGGCATCTCACTATTTAACTTTTTATTGGTCTCATATGTTGGTCATAGTTCCAGTGTTGTTAATTGTTATTGTAATACCTCATATTTTCTTTTAATAAAATAATATTAATAATAATATAATAATAATTTTTTTATGGATAATAATGATATTTAGTACTTTTGTAATTAATAATATTGGTATTTAATATTTTTAATAAATGAGTTAATAATAGTTAAAATAATAAAAGGTAAGATAATAATAATAGTAATATTATTTGATTTATGTGATAATATATATAAATATATATATATATTAGATGATAAATCATGATTAATTGATTTATTAATTGATTGATGATTTATGTATTAATGTTTGATTAGTAATGTTTGATTGATAAATTGTTTAGATATGATGAGTCAACAAACATAAATTGTTTAGATATAATGAGTCAATCATGAGTCAGCAAATAAGTTAGTTATATTCTAAGAAATTAAGAATAAAAAGAAAATAATGTATAAAGCCGTAATCTGAGCCAGATACATCACTAAAGAAAAAAGAAATAAATGCACGAAACCCATATCTGAGCCCAAAACTTCAACTATAAATAGAGGTCTAGCCTAACCAAACCAATTCACTCTTCAACATTTCTCCTCTACTATTCTCTCTTCTTAGTTCAAAAATTTAGTTTAATTTATTTTATATTCTTCTGGTTACCAACCGGTTCTTTGCCCCAAATTACTCTTTTCTTCTAGAAGTTAGCGAAAACGGAGACCAGGTAATCCTAATCTCTAGGTGGTTGTAGATTTGTTGTGTATGAAATTTTATTGGGCGTTTCCTAATCTTTAGGTAGTTATATGTTTGATATATGTAATCCTAATCCCTAGAGAGTCATAGATTATATTGATATGAATTTTGGTATATGTAATCCTATTCGTAGGTTATTTCTTTTATATAAAACTTGGATGTAATCTTAATCCCTAGATGTTCTTAGTATTTTTGTATGAATATTTTTTACATATATAGGTATTTGTTTTTTTTTAAATTTAAATTACTACATATGATAATTAGAATATTTTTGGAAAATTTCTATTATTTCAGAAATTATGATTATGTGCAATATATGATATAAACTTTTATTTTAGAAATTATGATTATGTGCAATATATGATATAAAATGTTATTATTTTAGAAATTATAATTATGTGCAATGTATGGCATAAGATTTAATTCATGTGCAATATATGCATCTTATTGAATAATTATGAAAATTATGGAATTATACTACTCTTTAAGAAAAACTTTCCAAATATGTGTTTTAATGATTGAATTTGAATATTTATATTATTAATAACTATGATAATTGATGTGATGGGATTATTTGAATGACGATGATTGGATTTTGATTTTTCTATGATGAATGTTGAAGATTTGAATATTATATCCTTGAATAAATTAGAAAGTTATGATGAGGATCTGATTTGGATTTTACTGTGATGAATGTTGAAGATTTGAATTATCATATCCTTGAATAAATTGGAAAGTTATGATGATGATCGAATTTGGATTTTACTATGATGAATGTTGAAGATTTGAATTGTTACATAAATTCAAAATTATGATACTTTGGAAAATTATAATGCCTTGAGTAACTCATTTAGAGATGATAATACTTAAAGAATAAATAATTATGATTGAATCTTTCCTGATTGTTTTGTGTTTGTAATAAATTAACGGTGGGAAGATAACTTTGGGATGGTACCTCCCAAGGTGATGAACACAACTTTTGGGCTTTATGCCTCCGATGTGAAAAAGATTGTATCCGTTCTTCCCAAAGTGGTGTCTGGCAGGGTTCCGCGGGATACTAGTAGCAACTTTGGGAAGAGGTGTGCACACTAGGAAGATGTGAATTGATTATGGCCAATGTGATTTGTTTGTGACTGGCAGGGTTTCCCGGGTCTCAGGGTAGACTGACAGGGTTTCCCGGGTCACAGGGTAGACTGGCAAGGTTTCCCGGGTCTACCATGGTTCTCTTCCCACTAAATATAATGAACTTAAACATTAATGAATTTTGTTATTTGATTTGATTATGAAGAATGTCATTGAGTTGTAAATATTATCATATTATGATTAATGTTGTGCTAAATATGTTATTTGATAATTACCAAATACATTAAATGAACTTAATAAAGATAAATATTATATAATGGAATTTTGATTATTATCTTGATATTTGATTTGATTAATGTGGAATTGATTTGAACACTATTTGATATTTGATTTAATTTGTTATTAATTACATTAATTGTATTTTGATTGGGATTACTAGCTTTGCTGACTTTTGTGTTTGTTTAACTGCAATGATCCTTCACGGGGGAGTAGAATTTCAGTGAAGCATGTTGCAAAGGATGGGGCTAGCTGTGGGCAGTGAGGATCACGACTCGGATATTTCTAGCTAGTTCCTAAGTTTAGAAATTTTATGAGATTTAAATAAATGCATAAGACATATTTCCTTTATTTAAACTTTAGTCTTTGGTTTTATTTTAATGTAATAAATTTAGCCTTGCACCTGTCCATTGTACAGGTGCGCGACGATAACATTCCCCAAATTAGATTTAGATGAGCTTCTGCAATATTTCTATTATTATAATTGTAAAAAAAAATGAATTTTGACAATTTATTTATTATATAATTGTTTTATATAAAAAATATTCATACAAAAATACTAAGAACATCTTATTACAAAAAAATAAAATAAAAAAATACTAAGAACATCTAGGGATTAAGATTACATCCAAGTTTTATATAAAAGAAATAACCAACGAATAGGATTACATATACTAAAATTCATATCAATATAATCTATGACTCTCTAGGGATTAAGATTACATATATCAAATATATAACTACCTAAAGATTAGGACACGCCCAATAAAATTTCATACACAACAAATCTACAACCACCTAGAGATTAGGATTACCTGGTCTCCGTTTTCGCTAACTTCTAGAAGAAAAGAGTAATTTGGGGCAGAGAACCGGTTGGTAATCAGAAGAATATAAAATAAATTAAACTAAATTTTTGAACTTAGAAGAGAGAATAGTAGAGGAGAAATGTTGAGTGAATTGGTTTGGTTAGGCTAGACCTCTATTTATAGTTGAAGTTTTGGGTTCAGATATGGGTTTCGTGCATTTATTTCTTTTTTCTTTATTGATGTATCTGGCTCAGATTTTGGCTTTATACATTATTTTCTTTTTATTCTTAATTTCTTAGAATATAACTAACTTATTTGCTAACTCAAGGCTGACTCATGATTGACTCATCATATCTAAACAATTTATGTTTGTTGACTCATCATATCTAAACAATTTATTAATCAAACATTACTAATCAAACATTAATACATAAATCATCAATCAATTAATAAATCAATTAATCATGATTTATCATCTAATATATATATATATATATTTATATATATTATCACAAAAATCAAATAATATTACTATTATTATTATGTTACCTCTTATTATTTTAACTATTATTAACTCATTAATTAAAAATATTAAATACCAATATTATTAATTACAAAAATACTAAATATCATTATTATCCATAAAAAAAAATATTATTATATTACTATTAATATTATTTTATTAAAAGAAAATATGGGGTATTACAGTTATAGTCATGGTAGTTAAAATTGGGATTTAAATCTTAAAATTCCGATTTTAACGATTTATTTTTTCTAAAACGATTTAGATTTCACTTAAAATCCTTTCCAATATAAAATCCCGATTTAGACATTTACTTAAGTTCGATTTTAAGATTAAATCCCGATTTTAACTATTGGAATGATGTTAAGCAAGTTAGAAAAATTGTTGAATATAACATTGCTGATGTTTCATCCGAAGATGAATAGATTGTAGAAAATGAAGAAACTTTATCTCATGATGAAAGTTTAGATGAAGACAATTTTGAATGATGTAGTTGAAGATCACGTGGAACAGAATGTCTTCGATGATAATAACTTGAATGATTTATTAGCTTAGACCCTTAGAGTGTGACAATTGTATACAAATGTATAAATTAAGGACGGTGGCAGGTAGTCTATTTTTCTTAATTTTTTTTTTTTACATAAGCATATGTATATAAAAATTTAATTTTAGAGTGCAGGTAAAATCTACGATTTTTATTACGATTTTACGATTTACGATTTTTTATTCCCTTTTCGATTTTAAGTAAAATCCTGATTTTGACTACCTTGTTTATAGTAATTGTTTTTGCATTTCTAGATCTGTTCTCCTGTGATTTATGATATAAGAAACTAATGCTATGTTTAGAAGTTCTTGAGCAAAGGGAAGGGAGGGAGGGAGAGTTACTTTTTCTTGTTTTGATCTTAAGTAAAGGAGGGGAACTCTCTTTGTTTTGGGGAGTTGAAATTAGAGGAAGGTTATTTCCTGTTATTTAATTTAAAATAAACCATGCCTCCATGCTAGCCCACAAATTCGAGGGGTAGTAAGGATGGGGAGAACGCATCCCCTTCCGCTCCATCTTCCTCCTTAAAAGTCTTCCAAACAAGGATTAGGTCACTGTTCCTCTCCCTGCTCCCTCCTTCCCTCCCATCCAAACATAGCATAATAGATTTGTTTATCAACTGGGATGTTGTCCAAAAGTTGACCCATAATGTCCTTATGAATGAGGTGATTTATTTTTTGCATATTTTGTCTTGTAATTTTGTGAATTTCCTGGTTAATGTTTATATGAATGGTTGAATGCAATAACAGGAGAGGCTGGATGGACTCCTGATCAGTGGGGTCATTCACGATTCAGAACTGTAAGTGGTTCCACTGACAGTTTGACCGCATTTATGCGTTCCCTTCTAAAGGCAAGTTTCTGATATGTTCTTCACTGATTTCATTCATTTAACTTTCAGTATCATAATTGAAAACACTGCAAATTCCACAAGAGCAATACTACATCCTTATTCATAGCAAATTAATTCTTGAAACCGGATTTATCTTTTAAGCAGTCAATGCACGATCATGCTGATGCTTGGCCGTTCAAGGAACCAGTTGATGCACGGGATGATTATTATGACATCATCAAAGATCCAATGGGTAAGAAGTATCCGTATATTTCATGTTAAATTTACCTGTTTCTATAAGCACGGTAACAGCTTTAGTTTAATGTTGCTTTTTTAATGGCAAAACTATTTCTGCCGTTGCTGCCGAAATAGTTGTTTGCCACAGACATAAATCTTTTTTTTTTTTTTATCAGAATACAATGTCGGATCCTGCTAAATTTTATTTAAAAAAAAAACTAGCGGGTCCTTTTTTTTCTCTGAGGCAGAGAATCCTTTTCTGCCGCTGCATCAGCAAAAAAAGGACCCTTTATTAATTTGCATTCTTTCTTATGATTTCCTCCCCTGCTATTTATTTTTGACGTCTCATTTTTGAGCTTCTTGTATCTTTTGCACTTGCTTCTTATATAGTATGGTCACAATCCTAGTTTCGCACACACATTCATTTTTGTTACTGATAGCTTAAGTTCACGTACCAACCTAGAAGTTTAATACATAACACCCATTAAAATTAATGTGAGCGCAGATTTGAAGACAATGACTAAGAGGGTGGAGTCAGAGCAATATTATGTCACATTTGAGATGTTTCTTGCGGATGTCAGAAGAATGTTTGCGAATGCACGCACTTATAATTCTCCAGAAACCATTTATTACAAATGTTCTACAAGGCATGCTGCCTCAACCTCCCATTTACTCTTTTCCTTTCCTTGCCCTTTATATCATCTGTGATGTTTCTTACATCCATGGATTTTTATGCAGGCTTGAAGCTCACTTTCAATTGGTTGGTGGCCTTCTCCCTGGTCATGGTAGTGATTGGCCGCTTTATTATAAAGTTCTTTTTGCTTGAAATTGGAGCATGGCTACTTTTTATATTTCTGGAGACCTACACAAGGATGTTTTGGTCAGCAGAGTCACTTTACTATAACCCAGTTTGGCATTTTATAGTTGCAACTTGGCAAACTCTTGTTTACAGCCTGTTGAGATATATAGTCCCACATTGGTTGTATAAGCAACTAATGTGGAGTTTATAAGGCTTTGGGTACTCTCACCCTTTGAGCTAGCTTTTGGGATAGTGTATCCCAAGGTTTTTTACATGGTATCAGAGCCTCGATGTACCGGGTTCGATCCTCACCGCCCCCCACTTTCTTTCTAGTGGAATTTCTTTCTTCGCATAGGTAGGTGGGCCTGTGCATCGTCCACCCTTTAAGTCCAGTGGGCTCTCGTGTGAGGGAGCGTGTTGAGATATATAAAATCATTAATGTAGCCTCACCCAATAGCTTAAGCTTTTGGGTTGAATTGGCCAAGGTTCTTTACACAGCCCAATCCTGGATCTTGACAGGTAATTTGACCATTTTTCTTTCATACTTCCAACCAAATTCAAGTATCTGATATAAGTTAAAACCTTTTCTTTAGTTGCTCTTAATATCCATTTTGATATAAGCTAGATAAGTGTAATTGTGTGGTTTTATGACTTTTTGCGGCTGGGGATGCATTTCTGCCCTTTGCTTCATCTAATACACATAATAACTTATTGAAAGCATTAATTGCATAATTAGAAACTTGCTAATGTTCTTCATTTTCCTTTCTTTCTATCAAGATTCAGACCTGCAGTTCATTTTTTGTTTTCAATTTAGATTTATATTTTTTCTGTTTGTTCCTTCTCATTCAAAATTTCTGAATATGACCTGTTGCTTTATTTTCTCTAAACAATGCCAACAAGTCAACCGAATCCAACTGAACCGGTTGACTTGTGGGCATTGGTTCAGAACCAATTCGGATATACAAACTAGTTTCGAATCAGTTTTCTTAACTAGTTTTTTTGGTTCAACTGGTTCGCTTCTCAAAACTGGTTCAGAAAAATATAATTTGGTTGGATTATTTTGCACAGCCGTACAAGTCACTAACTTATTCATTATGAGAATAGTGAGATTTTGTGGAATATTGAGATATTGATATATGGTTATTTTGTTGATTGAAACAGATGGGCTATTCCCCTTGGTATAATGCTGTCATTTTTCATACTTTATTGGCGGTGTTATGGGAAAAGGAAACATGGATCCCGGTGGCTATTACCTTTATACAGCAGCAATAAAAATGGTCCAAATAGGCCAAGAACTGACTAAAACCTATGATAACTGAAGTTGCAGACATGCTTTAAGAATTTGGTATGCTGCTCTCATAAATTCATTCCTTTTTGGCGACCTTTTTCTTTTTTTTTGTACATGGAGCCCGCCTGCCCCCTTCTTCTTGAAAAGTTCTTTTGCACAGAAGAGTCTAAAAAAAGGTTATCAGAGGGTGATTGACCTCTTTGGCAGCTTCTGTAACTTTAGCATATTCAAAAATGTTCTTTGCTTCCACAACATGTTGATTTTACAAATGATTATTACTTGGCAGTTATTTATGTTAGATCTTAGATTAAATTGGATTTAGATGCATATGTTGTGTCCACCATCTCATGTATTGACTGGTAAACAGGTAAATTCAAACAAGAAAGAAAATAGAGGTTAATTCTTTATTCTTTTGTTTTCAGTTGTTGAGTTAGAATTGCAAGTGGAACTATAATGTTTGATACGCGTTGTATAGAGCTTGAAAAATGAAGAGGATGAAATTTTTTTCCTTTTTTTTGAACTATAGACTTAAGTTAATGGTTAATAAACGTTAGAGTTTTGTATTGTCCTTTTTAAGCTGCTTTTCATCTAATACTTAAATTATTTTAAAAATTACACAAGATGTCATTTTTTAATATAATTTTGAAAAAAAATTAGTAAAGTGTTTTTATTATATCAAATTTTGAGTTTATTTTCATTTTAACAAACTCGACTATTTTTTTATTATTATTGTTGATGTTTCAGTTTTTTATTCTAAAGTTATAAACAAATAAAATAAAAGTATATATATATATATTTTTTGGGTACAATAAAGGGGCAAGGCCCCAAAGGAAAAATAAAATCAAAGAAAAGACAAAACAGAACAGATAGACTAATCCGGGGCAGCAAGTCAGATCTGGCAGGAGGACCCAATAGTATTAGAGGAGATCAACTTCTGAAGATTCTAGTCAGGAAAAGCTACAATCGATGTTCCCAAGGAACAAGATAGAGCTACCTTTGCAATCCAATTCGTACAACTATTACTACTTCTCAAGACATGAGTAAATTTGACATTCCAAGATCTATCAACAAGAGCTCGAATCCTAACCACTAAATGCAGTTCTCGAGCATCATTACCTGTTAAGGTAAACAATCTAATAGTTTGAGATGAGTCACCCTCAACTATTAGATTTTTTAGTCCAGAATTCCAAGTAAACACTAAGCCATTATGGATAGCCTAGAGCTCAGCAAGGAGAGGGGAGCAGCATCCCAAGAAAGTCTTGAAACCACCTAGCCATTTACCTTGACAGTCACGAATAAGGCCACCACAAGCAGTTTTTCCACATGTCACTGCCCCATCAACATTCAATTTATACCAGTTAGTTGAAGGACGAACCCAGAATGAAGTACTAGGGGATGAGACAATTGAGGACTCATTAATCTTTGGCTTATCAATAGATTGGTTGATATCATGATGAAACTTTAGCACTTGAGCCGAAGAATTTTCTGGTCTCTTGAAGTCAGGCTCATGAATTTCCTTGTTGCGCCAACACCAAAGAAACCAGCAGCCAATGAAGAAAATGCTTCTTAAGTCATAGGTCCCTCCACCTAGATGATTAAGATTCAACTTCATCCAATTCAAATGGTCCTATTCAGTGAAGAAATCATGAGGAGTATTGAGCTAATTCAAATTATTCCAAAGACCAGTAGCAACTGGACAATCCCTGAAGACATGCAGGGGAGATTCTAATTTGTCTTTACAAGTAGCACATATGTCCGAGCCAGATCCCCAAAGAGCTGTTCTGTTCCTGGTGAGCATTCTACCATGAGACATCTTCCAAATTTGAAGTTTTAGTTTTTCTGGGCCCTTCTAGCTCCATATCATGTTCCAAGGAAAATCTGCACGTCCAGAAAAATTAGATAATCTAATGAAAGCTTGTTTAACAAGAGAAATCGAAGGGTTATAATTTCTCCTCATCAGTTTTTCAGCTCCAGCATAGCTAACAGGGGGGAATGGCTGAAATAAGCTTGATGACATCAAAATTAAAAAAAAAAATTAGCAAGGAGATTGGTGTTCCAAAATCCTGTGATACTTTCAACAACTACAGCTACACAATCAGGTAGCAGAAGAGGATGAGGTTGTTGTTTAACTACATCAATCATCCTGGGAACCTCTCCAATCCAGTTATCAAACCATAAATTAATTTTGAGACCATCCCCAACCTGCCAGACAAGTCCTTTCAACATATCAGGCTAGACTTTACATAGATTCCTCCACAAAGCTGAGTCATATGATTTACACAAAGGAGGACTAGCCAGATCCTTATGTCTACTATATTTAGCAATAAGTATTTGAGTCCAAAGCTGTTCAGGAGAATTGAGAATGGACCAAGCCATTTTATGCATAAATGCTTCATTTTGTTTCCTGAGCTTCATTAAGCCTAGTCCACCCAGATACTTAGGGGTACAAATTTGATCCCAAGAGATGACATGAGCTTTCCTTTTTGAATTGGAATCTCCCTAAATGAACTTTTTTTGAAGCTTTTCTATATCATCACAAATTCCCAGAAGAATGATACCACTTTGCATCTGGAATATAGGGATAGAAGAGATAACAGATTTTGCAAGGATAACCCTTCCAGCCATAGATAGGTTATGACAAGCCCAACCATTTAATCTGTTGTGTACTCTATCTAATATGTCACCATATAGGCTTCTGTTGACCATACTATGCTTCATCATTGCACCCAGGTATCTCCCAAGGTTAGTGGTAGGGGTAAAGCCACTAATATTGATAATTTTTGCAGCCATGTCATTAGTAATATTTATAGAGAAAAAGATGTTTGATTTTCCATTATTCACCCTTTGACCCGAAGAGGCACCAAACTGGTTTAAGCAATCCATAACCACTGAGATTTGGTCTTCAGAGGCTTCAGCAAATAGCATTAGATCATCAGCAAAGAGGAGGTGGGAGATTTTAGGACCATTTTTCCCAACAGCCATAGGGATCCACTTCTTGTTCATTACAACATCTGCAATAATATGGGAAAGTTTTTCCATACATAAGACAAAGATGTAGAGAGAGATGAGATCACCTTGTCTTAGACCTCTAGAGGGAGAGATTGAACCAGCTTTACCACCATTCCATAAAATGTCAAGATGAGAAGAAGTAATACACTCCATAATAATGTCAGTCAAGGCTGGAGGTAATTTAACTTCTTTAAGAACCAATCTGATAAAACCCCAAGATATTCTGTCATATGCTTTTTCCAGGTCTATTTTAATGGCAAAGAAACCCCTCTTGCCTCTCATACGTCTCATGGAGTGAATCACCTCTTGGGCAATGATGATGTTGTCTTGTATATGTCTGTTTAAACAAAACTCACTTGATGAGGAGAGATGATCTTTTGCATGATTGGTTTGAGTTTGTTGACAATAATTTTACTGATGCCCTTATACAAAACAGAGCATAAAGCAATAGGTCTAAGCTGATTAACTTTTTCTGGCCTGGGAATCTTAGGAATAAGAACCAACAGAGTATTATTGATTAACCTAATATATTTCGGGTTATTCCAGAAGTGGAGGATTGCTTCAATTGTTTGGGAACCAACAATTTCCCAATTCTTTTGGAAGAATAATGCAGGAAATCCATCAGGTCCAGGGGCTTTTAAGGAACCCATTTTGTGGAAGGCTTCATAGATGTCTCTATGAGTCACTGCTGCATATAGAGAGTCCACTTCATACTCATCCAGATGCAGCCAAGAGTTGGAAGTGGTGTGCCAAATTCTGGAGGGAGAATCTTCAGTAAATAAATTACTATAAAAGGACATAACCAGATTAATGATACTTTGATCATCTTTTAACAGGTTACCAACATCATCCTTAATTTCCATAATCTTGTTCTTCGCTCTTTTGGCTATAGTAGTAGTATGATAGAATTTGGTATTCCCGTCTCCATCTGCTATCCACTTACATTTAGCTTTTTGGAATCAAAGGATTTCTTCCTCCTCAAGGACAGCATTAATCTCATTTTGCAAAACTTGATCTAAATTCAGAAGGAGATCATCTGGTAAGCCCCACTTATTAATCTGCAGGTCATGAAGCTTTAATGAGAGCTTCCTTCTTAGTATGAATGTTTCCAAACACTTTCTTTTTAATAAAAGTATATTTCACTTCAACGGTTTTGTTCATTTTATACCATTTCAAAAGCCTTAAACTTATATGAATAAAATATACAAAAGCTTGACAGTAATTAATTTAATATTCAAAATAATATTCTCAAATCATTACACTTTATGAATTATTTTAAAAATTGGATATGATAATATTATCTTATTAAATTGTTAATTTGATGCACATCACACACATAATATAATATAAATAAATCGTGATCAGATTTTTTATGTTTACTTTTATTTAACTTCTTTATTTAATCTATTCTTATCATATCTTGTTCACTAAGAGGTCTTTGTTATTGAAAATAACTTTTTCTCTCTACTTCAAAATCAATCCACGACTAAAAAATAGAAGAATCTAATGAAAAGTCCAATAAGCCCACTTAAACTAATCAAACACAGTAAAAAAAACAGATTATGTTGTGTTATTTTGAAATATTGTGTCTATCATTGTACCCAAAAAAAATTGTGTCTATCTGTATGTTGATAGATATCAAATAAATTCCCTCACAAAAAAAAAGATATCAAATAAATGGGATCATGAAAATAGAGATACACACAGGATTATAAGATACCTTTTCACGTGAAAGTATATGTTTAATTTCGCTTGAGGAAAGATTTGAAGTTACTGTGAATGCAAATTTTTTTATTTTAAAAAGTTAGTTTTATCATTATATAAATATGGGTAAAAGATTTCTCCAGTCAATGAAGATAAAGTTATTTTCGGTGAACTCAAAACGACATCGTTTTGGGGCGATAATCAAGGTGTTTTTGTAATTCTAATATGTTGCCAGTTTATGTTAGTCTTTGTCATTATAAATTTTTAATCTCATAACCCCAAAAAGAATGTCGTTTTTGTTGGGTTTGCTCTTTTACTAAAGCCCAAATGGGCTATTAGTATGAGAAGAGCCCAAGAAGCCTAGAGCCCAATGAGCTAGGGTTTCTTGGAACCCATATAAATAGTACCACTTAAGTTATCAGCCTCCGAGGTTTTTGAGAGAGAAAAGAGGCAAGCTCAAATCTGATGTGTGCCCACACACTTCCCCTTCCTCCTCGATAGATAGCTTGGAAGGTTTATCTCAACAGTTCGTGAGTTCGTGCTGTGACACAAAGGGCTCAAGCGTGAGGAACAACATCATCTCGCATCTGCGTCATTGAAGAGGTAAATGATAAAACCATGATGATCCATATACATCCAAATCACAATGGTCTCATACGCTTCCGCAAATGCA